GGCCCTAAATGGCCATCACAAGTGTCTTTATAAGAGAAAGGTAGGGGTGGGAATGCAAACTAGTGTAGCCATTCTGGAAAACAGTACGGAGGTTCCTCAAAAAAGTTAAAAATAGAACTGCCCTGGGGCGCCTGGGTGGCTCAGATGGTTAAGCGTCTGCCTTCGGCTTGGGTCATGATCTCCAGGTCCTGGGATCAAGCCCCACATCCGGGCTCCCAGCTCAGCGTGGAGTCTGCTTCTCCCTCTGCCTCTCCCTCTGCTTGTGCTCTGTGTGTCTCTCTTTCTCAAATGAATAAATTTTAAAAATCTTTAAAAAAAATAGAACTGCCCCATGATCCAGCAATTGCACTACTAGGTATTTACACAAAGGATACAAAAATACAGATTGGAAAGGATACATGCACCCAGATGTTACACACACACAGGAATATTACTCAGCCATGAAAAAAGAATGGAATCTTGCCATTTGCAGTGACATGGATGGAGCTAGGGAGTATCATGCTAAGTAAAATAAGTCAGAGAAAGACAAATACTGTATGATTTCACTCATATGTGGAATTTAAAAAACAAAACAAATGAACATAGGGGGAAAAAAAGAGAGGCAAACCAGGAAACAGACACTTAAGTATAGAGAACAAACTGATGGTTACCAGAGGGGAGGTGAGCGGGGTGGGGGTATGGGTTAAATAAGTGATAGGGATTAAGGAAGGCACTTGTGATAAGCACCAAGTCTTGCATGTAAGTGTTGAATCACGAAATTCTATACCAGAACTAATATTACACTGTATGTTAACTAACTAGAATTTAAATTAAAAACTTGAAAGAAAAAAAAGAGAGAAAGGCAGGGGGAGACTTGACACACACATAGAGAAGCAGGTGATAAAGTTGCAGGCAGAGACTGGAACCATGTGGCCACAAGCCAAGGAACACCAAAAACTGCTGGTGGCCAACAGAAAAAAGAAGAGGCAAACAAATGGATACCTTCCTTTTGGACTTCTGACATCCAGAACTGTGACAAAAGAAACTTCTGTTGTTTTTGGTAATTTGCCACAGCAGCCCTAGAAAACTGATACATCCTCTGATGGGGTAGAGGGAAGAGTTGAATACTAGCTGAAAAATAATCCAATTTAGTTTTGCATCCCTTCAAAGTTAACCAGAAAATAACACCTGCACCCCAGTGTTTATAGCAGCAATGTCCACAATAGCCAAACTATGGAAAGAGCCCAGATGTCCATCGACAGATGAATGGATAAAGAAGATGTTGTGTGTGTGTATATATATATATATATATATATATATATATATATATATATATATGTATGTATTCAATGGAATATTACTCAGCCACTCAAAAAAATGAAATCTTGCCATTTGCAACAATGTGGATGGAACTAGAGGGTATTATGCTAAGTGAAATAAGTCAATCAGAGAAAGTAAATTATCATAGGATTTCACTCATATGTGGAATTTAAGAAACAAAACAGAAGCATAGAGGAAGGGAGGGCAAAATAAAACAAGATGTAACCAGAGAGGAAGACAAACCAAAAGAGACTCTTAAGCATAGGAAACAAACTGAGGGTTGCTGGAGGGGAGGGGGGTGAGGGGATGGGGTAGCAGGGTGATGGATGTTAAGGAGGGCACATGACATAATGAGCACTGGGTATTATATAAGGCTGATCAATCACTGACTTCTACCTCTGAAACTAATAATACACTATGTGTTAACTAATTGAATTTAAATATATATATATACACATATATATATCTGCAGAAAATAAAAAAGAAAAGACTATGCATTGATACTACCAAAATAAATGAGCAAATGAACATGTAAATAAGCAAATGAAAACATAGATAAGGAAAATGAAGAATTCCGATCAAAGATTAATTACCTATGAAAGCAGTAGAAAATGTCAGATTTTTCTTCTTAACACTCTCTAAGAAACCAAAGTAAAAAAAAAAAAATCTAAAAAATAATACAGTATGAGGAAAAGAGATAACAGAGAAAATGAAGGTGAGCTCTTTAGGTTTAGGAAAAAAGTGGAGAATAAAATGGAAACCAGAAACAAGTGCTCCATTAGAACAGGCATATGGAAGACATGGTGGAGAAAACCACAAAAAATGAAATTAAAAAAATCAAAGGCAAATATATAAAAGAAAAGGTGAAATAGAAAATCCATTGTATACACAATTAGTGTTTCTGAAGAAGATACTGTTACAAGTGCAAGGGAAGTAATTCAAAGAAGAAAACTATGCTGAAATGAAAGACATGTAAATCTATGGATTGAAAATACAATCTATGGATTGTATTTTTAGAACAATTTATATAACATCATGTTTTATACTGGAAAATATTGCGATTCACAGTCATTGTGATCCTGGCTTTTCTCTTAATTTTCCATATCCATATTAAATATGAGGAAATCTTCAAACATGTCATGATGCTTATAAGAAATTATTATTGGTAAAGTAAATCAAGTAAAGTAACTCAAGAGATGGATATCTAAGGTTCTTTCCAACTCCGTGATTCTATTAACCTTAGTCTGAGTCATCCTTCTTATCAGGCTTGAATAAAAACAATTTCAGAAACCAACTGTAATATGCACTCATATATACCTGTTAATGTATTCATAAAGGCACTGAAGTCAGTAATTGTTACCTCTATAGGAGTCAATCTTTTAGTGTATAGTAACATCTTTATATACTGTAGCAAACATTTGGCAAACAAATCAACTGGTATAACATTACTTTTCTGTATGTTATACATACATATAAGAACATATACCTACATATAAATGAGTTTTTTAAAAATTCATTGGAGCAATGGCTTAACCAAGTGGCTTTTTACATATTCATGTGCCATGCAATTTGTTAAAGTGATGCAAGAAATAAGTACTAATTCTATGCTGTATTTTTGCATAATATTTTTGGTAAATTGGAAAACATGCACATTTGTCTATCTTCTTTTTATCCTAATGTTTCAAATTTTTATCTAAATTCCAGCTAGCATACAGTGTAATATTAGTTTCAGGTGTAGAATTTAGTGATTCATCACTTATATATAACACCCAGTGCTCATCACAAGTGCCCTCCTTGGGGCGCCTGGGTGGCTCAGTTGGTTAAGCGACTGCCTACAGCTCAGGTCATGATCCCCAGAATCCTGAGATGGAGTCCCGCATCAGGCTCCCTGCTCAGCGGGGAGTCTGCTTCTCCCTCTGAACCTCTTCCCTCTCATGCTCTCTCTCTCAAATAAATAAAAAATCTTAAAAAAAAAAAAAGTACACTCCTTAATGCCCATCACCCATTTATCCTATCCCCTGCCCACCTCCCTCCATCAACCCTCAATTTGTTCTCTATAGTTAAGAGTCTCTCTTATAGGTTTTTTTTTTTTTTAATAATGGCATAGCAAAAATGAAATGCTCTATGTTTTATCAAAGAGAAATGTATGTATGATTTATTGTGGGGGTTTTTTTTGAGTTAAATGGAAACCCATAGGAAGTTGATTTAATAGGTAAATGTTAATTCTTTACTACCTCTTCAGGAATGTGTATAATGGCAACATGAGGTTAGTTATAGGAAATATATCCATTTGCACTTAAGATATTTGCAGTATGACTGAGGAGACTGGCACTAACAAATATTTTGTTTACAAAAGCATACACTTAACAAAGATAAGTGATATAAAAGTGTCCAAGGGATGATGTAGTATCTGCCCTTTATATCAAATGGCAACAAGAAACTGGGACTGTGCTTTCTTAGTCTGTTTTTCTCCTCGGGCTTGGCAGGGATCTTGCACATTGACTGATAGTAAGCGTTGGGTGATTAAATGAATGTTCAAACACTAATTCCTCCAGTAAAGCAGATAGTAAATACAATTAAAGTCAGGATAAACCCAGAGACCATTTACACTTTTCACAGGTGACCAGAGTAATGCACACTTTTCTGAGAGACAGATGAAGACTAGAAGCCCGTGACTAAAGCCATTCTTCCACTTACCCTGTTTGTTTGGTGACAACATACAGGCTAAGATTGCTTGAAATCCTTCTGGAAGCTCTGATAGCATGGCATTGTTAATTTGCTTGACAGAACTAGTCCAATCCTGTGTAGAACAGAATCTGAATCCTTAGGAAATTCTTCCTAATACCTCAACTAGATTCCAGATTCGGGTAATGCCCACCTTCTACTACATTCCTTAGAAATAAAAAATGAACAAGTATTGTCTGCTTTCCTACTCCTTTGTAACAATACACACACACTTGATCCCATTGTTTCTTAGCAAAGTTCTGTCTCAAACATCCCAGACAAATTGGATTATTAAAAATGCTGTAGAATAGGGGCAACTGGGTGGCTCAGTCGGTCAAGCGTCCGCCTTCGGCTCAGGTCATGGTCCCAGGGTCCTGGGATCGAGCCCCGCATCGGGCTCCCTGCTCGGCGGGAGGCCTGCTTCTCCCTCTCCCGCTGCCCCTGATTGTGTTCCTGCTCTCGCTATCTCTCTCTCTCTTTCAAATAAAATAAATAAAATCCTCAAAAAAAAAATGCTGTATAATAAATGTCAACTTCACTCTGTCAAGAGGTTTTCTCTTATTCTTATGTAAATTCTTTTTGTTGCTCTTTTGTAGTGGCAGGAAACTGGACTGGAAAACCTCTTAAATGCATCTCAACTTCATGATTTCAGAATTTATTGTACTTTGTCTACATAGTATAACTTCTAAAATAGGTACTTCTATTTCCCCAAATGAACCAGATCCTCTCAGTGATTTATGGGATTAAATTATGGAGTCTGGGAGAAGCTCTAAATATGTGAGGGTTTGTGTTATACTTGTTTGTTCTTTAACTATAGAAAACTATTCTTTATGCCTAGTCAGCTGAGCCATGCTAAAGTTATTTTCCTTAAAATGCACATATTAAGACCAAGTATTATAACATTGTTGTTTTTAAAATTGTTATATATTAGAAAAGTCCCCAATTTAACCATACTATTATATAATTACTTTTTACAGGACACTATGATAAAGAATCGTACCAATTGCCCGAATAATGAACCTAAAGTTTTAAAAAAACATGCATGTGATGATAATAAGGTAATAATTATTTGGAATTTATATGTCATTTAAGCTTGATTTTATAGAAGCTTGTATTATTTGTATGTGTTAGATAATTATATTCATTATATTAATAACATATTCTTTTCGTTCTAACCAGACAATTCCCACTGACCTATTAAATTATACTATTGTCTTCTTTTATACTTTTATTTTACAAAAAGCCCTATGCTTATTTTGTAAATATTTTTTTCTACTTTAGCATTTCAGTTTTCACTTTGAAAATACTAAAACTGCTGAATTCAAAGACACACATATCCCTTATTCGTGACATTCTTATGCAGGAAAATGCTTGTTAGAGTGATTGCTTGCCCACACACACACAAACATCAGTCCTCAGCATAATTTACTTCTAGGACTTTGGATTTTTTTCTTTCAATATTTGCTTATTTTCAAACAACTACTACCTCTGGTCAGTGGAATATTAAAATTTACCAACCTTACAACAAAAGTTTGTGTCATGTCCTTCTAGAGAAACTAGTATGATATTCGGTAGTCTTTTTAAAACTCATAGTAGCTGAGTTAACCTCATAGTATCACACTGTATATTCATAAATTCTTTTTATTTTAATTTCTTACTTTAAATATTTGAAAGACTTGTTTGAGGTGAATATGGACCCTTTTTTATCATTGTCAGCTATTCATCCATAGCTCAAAAGGTACAAAAATAAGAAGAGAAATCACATACCTTTCATTATTGTTGCCTCCAGAAGCCCTCTCCTTTGGTTGTCTCGTTTAAAATGGAATAATCTTGTTAAATGTTCATCCATAAGTGATAAGATCATAAATTTATATTATAAAGAAAAGAGACTTCAAAAAGTCAAATAACCATTAAGCCAAATTCTAGGCCCTCCAGACTGTCACTCAGGAGCTAAACAGTTTTAGTCTAGTTGCTTGTCAGTCATGTGATTAACTGGAATGGAAATCTGGGGCGGAGGTGGGGCATTATTGGGCAATACAGCTCTGGCTTTTGGCTCTTTAGGAAAGCTTGTCATTTTTTAATATTTTATTTGAACCACAACGCTTCTGATTTTTTTTTTCCTGTAATAGGAAGGTATGTTTTTATATCGTGCTGCTCGCAAGTTGAAGCAGTTTGTTAAAATGAATAACAGTGATGATTTTAATCTCCACTTATCAAGAGTTTCACAGGGCACATTACAATTGTTGAACTGTACCCCCAAGGTAAGTTGTTTACTTTGAACAAGAATATCAACTAGTCCTGTGATAGGATACTATAATTCTCTAATGATCATTATCTATTATCATAGAATTCTAACTGCTTATTATTACCTAAAGTTGAAATAGATTATGGAAGCAGAGTAAAAATAAGTGAGTGCATACCTCATTGCTATGATAACTTTGAAGGAGCTTAATGTGATAACTTGGGTGGGAATGGTAAATTTTTACCTCTAAATCTCATTAATAATTTTAACCCATATGTACACATTTATAAGAACTCATAGAGAATAAGACAGATAATCAAATGTATTTAACAGATATCTTTACATGTTAAAACTTTACCTGTTAAAACATATATATATATGTCCAATTATTTTTTTTGCTTCAATAATTTTGTTAAGTATAGGGCTAATTTTTCCTACTTGTCTGCTAGTGGTTATGAAATATAACAAAACAAAATTTGGAAGACACAATCTTGATACTAAGCCACAGTATGGAGAAAAATATAGTATCTACTTTATAGGATGGTGACAGGGTTAATTAAATAGCATAATTCATGTAAAGTGCTTAGTACTAGAAAGGTTTCAATAAGTGATATATTATTATTACCACAACTCCCACTTCAGAAATTTTACCAGCTGCCTCACAAAGCCAAAAGGTTTCTTATGATTTTTTAAAAAGAAATTTTTAACATTTTCATGACAGAAAAAGGGTCTTGTGTGTTTTTATTTTTTTTTAATACCAGTAGTTGCCCACAGGAGGTAAGATTTAAGATTATCCTTGAGCCCTGTTGACAATGATGAAGATGATAGAATGTGAACCACTTCATTTATCATCACATTATCTATTTGATGCAAGCCAGTCTCCTCTTGGTGTCCTGGATTTGCCAAGTTTATTTCCAGTTTTGCCCCCTTACTTATGTTAGTCCTCTATATGAAATTTCTCCTGTTCTCTTTTCTATAAATCTGTAAGGGAAGAATCACTAAATTCTACACCTGAAACCAATTTTACCATATATGTTAACTAACTTGAATTTAAATGAAAACTTTGAAATAAAAAAAATTAAAAATAAACATCCTAAATTGTTAAAAAGAAAAAGGAAAAGAAAACTAACCTGTCTTGCTTTTTCCTTTTCCCTGATACTCTATTTCTAAATGAAATTATTCTTTTTTCATACTATCAAAAAATAGATTCTCAAAGAGATTAGATGAATTTGACAGCAATATAAAATTTAGCAATGCCATTAATGAAAGGAGCAATAAAGGAGCAATGCCATTAATGAAAGGAGCAATCTAATAAAGATTAGATGAATTTCACAGCAATATAAAATTTAGCAATGCCATTAATGAAAGGAGCAATAAAGGAGCCATTAATGAAAGGAGCAATAATATTCAATATTATGAATGTGACTTTGTTTTTAAGGAAGGAATAAAACTACCTTCCCTGGGTGAAGTCCAACCCACTAAAAATTTGGTGAGAGTGATTGTATAATTTTCTTTCTTCATCAGCTTTTTATTCAACTTAATTCCTTTATGTTTCCCTTTGAATTTTTTCCTTTTTTACGTTTCCCTTTTCCTTTTTAATGGTTCGGTTTGAAAATATTCATTATAATGTTAATAAAAGGAGACGAGAGGTACCCCTTAGAAATTGGATCCCTTTAAGCTACACTTTTTAAAGCCACTCCTTTATTTTTAATTTTTTTGGAGTTTTATTGATTTATTTATTTGAGAGAGAAAGCATGCAGGGGCGAGAGGTGGGGGAGAGAATCTTAAGCAGGATCCACATCCAGTGCCTGAGCCCCATATGGGTCTGCATCTCACGTCCCTGAGATCATGACCTGAGCCAAAATGGAGAGTCAGACACTTAACCGACTGAGCCCCCCAGGTGCCCCTTAAAGCCATTACTTTAAAATAAAAGAAGCTAGGGAAAATATCAGAGCACCAGTTTTTTTATAAAGCAACAAAGTTAGAACATCAATAGGTAATAAGCAAAAGACATGAGTGAACTACTTTTATAGAACATAAACTAGAAAACAAGTATATGAAGAAAATAGCCATCCTGGTCAGTCAGTAAACCTTCAGCATAACCTAACATGATGGAAATTAAAGATTGAACATTTTAAAATGTGTATTTTTTAAATAGAAATTTAAAACTTTTTTTTATATATTTTCCTAGGAAGACAATAAATCTGTAAAGGAACAGAGAAAACAAAAGAGCTTGTGCTCCCTAGGGATACTACTACAAAAGATAAAAACTTGTTGGAATAAAATTTTGAGGGGCCCCAAAGAACATTGAAAAATATGGAGTGGCAATATAAAGACACATGAGCTTCAGTTGTATCCTTCAAGAATCTATCTTCTCGTACAATTCTTGGGGCGGGGGGCGGAACACCCTAGAAGTTACAGAATGCATCCTGGTGAAAGCGGATTAGAGCAATTTCTCAACTGCTACTAGAAGATGGATATAAACAGTGGAAACCAAAGGCTGCAATCGACAAACCTTCATATGTTTTTCGACATATATCAATCAGTATTAATTCTGTGATTTTTGTAAGACAATCCAAGTAAGGTGTTAGTTGCAATAATACTTTTTAAACCTGTTTTAAAATTTCAGAAGACATATAAGATCTGTGAAGTATATAAGCAGGAATTAAAAATTAACATTGCTTTTATTATCAAAATAATTGTATGCACCAGCATACTACGATGAGAGTGGAAATTGTCTTCTGTGCTGGAAATGTTTCCGAGTTAACAGATGTGGATAATGCCAATGAGAGTAAGAGTTAGATACCTTAAAGAAACAGTGGTATGAAGGAGTCCAAGATCCTTAAGAGAGATGAAGACATGTAGTTAAACTTGAATGCATAAGACAGTGCCTCCATTAATGGCATAGCAAATGTTTTAAGATGACCACAAAGAATGATTTCACAAAATAGCAAGTCACCTGTTCTAAGGATGCTAAACCATAATACTGAGTTACTTTTGTCATTTATGTGTAATAAAATTTGTCTAAATGAGTTTGCAATTTGGGAAGTATATTTTTAACAGAATAATATATGTTGTCCTTTTAATTAATGGAATGTGTATTTAATTTTGACACTGTATCTGTATTATATAAAAATATTTTCATACAGTATTACAAACAAATTGCTGACTTTGGATAACATTTCTCTTTTGATAATAAATGACCTATGTAGTAACACTGTCAGATTCACTTCATGAATTTTTAAGAATTTTTAAGACAAGATTTTTAATACTGCACTACTATTTGATCTCTCACTGTCATCGAATATGTGACTTTTAAAACCTTATTAATACTCAGAATGTAAATGAGACCAAAACTATATAAGAACAGGAACATTACTTTCTATGTTAAATTTTAACCTTTTAAAAGAGACTTTTGTATATACCAGATCCAGTTTAGAAAGGTCTGTCAACAGTCTTCACTTACTTACAAAGGGAAATGAAAACCCTAGTCGAGAGCCAGAGTCTTCCCGCAGCCACTCAACTCACATCCTTCCTGCTCTTGTACACCTTCATCAGCACCTGACCGGCTTGATTTGAGCTTCGGGTGATGCACTGTGTGGTGGGGAAGGCCTTCCTCTCAGTCCATGTTTATGTCTCTCTCTCCCTAACCCTTATGCCCTTCACCCTCACTAGTGCAGATTCCTGTGTAGAACTGTACAGAAAGTTGTACAGAGTTCACGGATTGCTCCACTCACAGGGCTTTGAATCAAGTATGTTTTCTGTTTGGTTTTCATTATTGACTCCAGAAAAGGGAGCTGACGAGTACTTTTAGGAGCAAACGATTCTTCACCACGCTCTTTCTTTAGAGGGACTTTTCCAAGTAAGCTGTGCTTCCTTCTACCATAAAACGTGGTCAGCTCTGTGATACACCTCCACCCTGATGAACGGGCGCTGCTGGTAAACCATTAGCTATAGAAATGAGGGAACTTTACGTTTCTAAACGTAAACTCTTAAAACTGTCCTTGAAAGTGTTTCCATAAAGGCTGTCTAAAACATCCCTAACAAGTATTGAAATAATTCCAAGATTGTGGTAAAATAAGGAACAATATCTTTAAATGCTTGCTAAAAGTTATTAAAATTTTCTTCCTTGATTTTCATTTGTTTATGGTACATCTGAATTTCAGAGAAAATTCACACTCAAAACAGTATTCAGCATACACTGTTGTGTCAAATGCTTGGGGAAAAAGCCACACATTTATGGTTATATTTGCCTTCTTTGTTTCCTACCCACTAGCAAGGTAAGTAGAGACAGGCAGGCTAATTAATAATGAACTTGGACATTATACTTTTATTATTTATACTCCCCAATTAAAGAGTTGGTTTTTTTTTTAAGATTTTTTATTTATTTATTTGACAGAGAGAGACATAGCGAGAGAGGGAACACAAGCAGGGGGAGTGGGAGAGGGAGAAGCAGGCTTCCCGCAGAGCAGGGAGCCCAATGCGGGGCTCGATTCCAGGACCCTGGGACCATGACCTGAGCCGAAGGCAGACGTTTAACGACTGAGCCACCAAGGCACCCCAAAGGCTTGTTTTATTTCAATGAATGTTTTCTTTCAAATATGTATGTGGATGCTTTAAATCAGCATTTTCTAAAGTTTGTCCCAAGAAACCCTAATCCTCATCAATGCTACAAAAAAAGAAGACAATGACAACAAAGAAGATGAAGAAGAAAGAGGAGGAGGAAGAAATGAAAAAAGGACAAAGAAAAAGAGGGAAGATTCTGTATTCTGAGGTCAGATAAATTTTCTCTTGGAGAGTCACAATTTATATAAGCATATTATAAAAGGCTGTGTAAACTCAATACCGCTTAAAAAAAAAAAGTTTAACACTAACATAACATTTCCAAAACTTGACTAGAGAATGCTAGTTTTATGTAAAAACCATTACCTAAATGTACTTCGGGGAATATTGCATTATACAAAGGGACTCAGTTAAAAGTCTTTTAAAATAGGCTTTCAAGGAATCTCTTGAAGGAAATAACTCCTTTCAGGATTAAGATAGTTCTATTAAAACTAGAAAAGTTTCTTTGCCTTAGGCCATATTTTCATTGACAGTTTACAAAGGACATTTCATCAAATCTACTGTAAATATTTCTCTAGAAACATACATCCTCTACTCTAAGTCAGATAGTCTTTATGGTACTCTGTCCATGCAGTCTTCATGTCTTTAGTTATTATGCTCTTATTGCTTAGAAAGTTCTTCCAAATTCTTTCCAGATGCTGCTCAAACTTCAAGGGGCATCTCAATTCCTTTCTCCTCAATTGCTATGGCTTCCATGATAATTCTAGATAATGTTAATATTTCTTCCTTTAGTTGCCTAGCACTTACTTGTATGTATCATGCATTATTATCAGATTCATCTTAATATTTTATCTTAAATACAACTATTATTTACATTATTCTATTTATGTTTTCTCCTGAAAGAGTGTATGATCTTTTATGTTCCCTTCAGCTCCTAACGGGAAAAGCCAGGCATATTATGGTTAATAAGTAAAGACAAATTGCGTTAAACCAGTGTATTAATAAAATGTATTTAATTATCAAAAATTACATTAGAATAATAATAGGAAAATAAAATCTGTGGAAATATAATAGGACAAGAGAAATAAAATAGGTAGGTACATTGATAATCACCAATTGCAACAGTTTTTAACATCTCAATATCAAAATATATGTATGCACCTAGATTCATGAGTTATTTAGTATTTAAGAAAGATGCAAAATAGTTACTTTTGTTTGGGAATAACTTGGGATTTATTTTCACTTGTTTGTTTTACATCTTCTCCATACAAAATGCTAAGAAAGAAGTGCGTTTTTTCTGTATATAAGTGGGGGAGAGGTTAGATACACTTTAGGATCTTATTCTCAAAGTGAATCCATTTTTTTAAGTGGGGCTTGAACTCACAACCCTGAGCTCAAGACCTGAGCTGAGATCAAGAGTTGGACACCCAACCAACTGAGCCACCCAGGTGCCCCATTAAAGTGAATCAATTTTCTATCTATATTTTACATGAATAAAATTAAGACATGGCAACATTTACAATTTAGGATTTACTGCTCTTGCTTGCTGATTTTTTCCTTAAGACCTAGTCTACGGATTCCTCCTTTCTGACGCCTTCCCCCACTTCCCAGGTGGGGTTAAGGATTCCTTCATTTGTGCCTCCATTGCTAAGCTCAACAAATAGCTCAATAACGTACCAGGTACGACCATGTGAGAGACGGAAATGTGTTTGTTAATTTCTACCTCTGATGTTTATCACAATTTTTTTTAAAGATTTGTTTATTTGAGAGAGAGAGAGAAAGCAGTGGGGAGGGACAGAGGGACAGGGAGAGAGAAACCCTAAACAGACACCATGCTGAGCACAGAGCCCATCATGAGGCTTGATCCCATAATCCCATGACCCTGAGATCACGACCTGAGCCAAAATGGAGAGCCTGATGCTCAACAGACCACACCACTCGGGCACCCCTGATGCTTATCACAAATTTTATGTTTGAAATAATCTGATTGAAATGGAAACATTTTACTTAAAAAATTAATTGGGTAGGAACTCTTACAAATTGTTCTGGAAACGTTTCAAACACTATCACAAATAAAAGGACCTTGGTTTGCAGAACATCTAATCAGGTAAAGTAAAGCTTCCTAGGAGAATCAGAAAGATCTGCCAGAAAAGTACAGAATGACCGTTATCTACCCTATCATCTCCTTGCCTAGCATTCCCAGCAGAAAGGAAATCTTTAGCTGTGAAAAATCTTAAATGTGTAGACAAATACATCTTCCTACTTAAAAAAGAGGTATTACTTTCACTAAGGGTAAGTCAGATACCAGGGTTGGGACTTATATCTTCACAGCCAGTGGGTTTAAAGAAGTTCCAGCTTTTGAATACAGACCACTTAATGGGAAGATGCAACACAGATACAGATAATTAAATCATTCAACAAATATTTATTAAGTATCCATCTCCAATGTGCCAGTTCTGGTCCTAGGGGTACAACAGAGTCCCTGCCTTCAGGGAACATATATTCCAAAAGAGGAGACAGTCCACGAGTGAACAAAATTATTACAGAAAACAAGTTCTATGGAAAAAAAAAAAAACAAAATAACAACCCGAGATAGACTGACTGATGGAGACAAGGGGTATTTTAGGTTAGATGATCAAAGAAGACCCCTTTAAAGACATTTGAAAATATTTTATTGGTCTCAAAAATCTCAACATATATCACTGGCAATATAAGTTTCATTGAGGGATTCAAGTGTTTTACAAAAGATCAAAACAATACTTCAGCTATAAGACATAGTACACTGTCATAGAAATAAATTATGAAAACATCAAATGTTTGAAGTAGTATGTTGGCCTTAAGTAGTAATGTACAAGCTTTACTTACATATTTTGAAATAATTTCAGATATATGGAAGACTTGCAAAAATAGTACAGAGTGTTTCTGTATGCCCTTTACCAAATTTCCTCTAAGGCTAACATCTTACGTAACCATGGTACATTTATCCAAACCAAGAAACTAGCATTCTTTGTTGTGGGGGTGGGGTTGCTGTTCATTGTGGAATGTTTGGCAGCATTCCTGGTCTCTACCTACTAGATGCCAGTACCATCCTCCCCCAAGTAGTGACAATCAAAAATGTCTGCAGACATTGCCAAAATGTCTCAGGGAAAAAGTTGAAACCAATGTTCTAGAAGTTTTTGGTTTTACATTTTACAGTTTAGGTCCATGACTCGTTTTGGGTTATTTTTGAATATAAGGTATCATAGGGGGGTTTTGTTTTTTTTATTTTGTTTTTCTGCATAGGGACATCCAGTTGTTCCAGTACCATTTGTTGAAAAGACTACATGCAGTTGGCCTTTGAACAACATGGCCTACCGTCGACCGAAAGCCTTACCAACAACAGTCGATTAACACATATTTTGTATGTTATATGTATTATATCCTGTAATCTTCTAATAAAGCTAGAGAAAAAGAAAATGTTAAGAAAATCATAAGGAAAATACATTTACAATATTTGTAAAAAAATAATCCATGTATAAGTGGACACATGCGATTCAAACCTGTGGTGTTCAAGGGTCAACTGTACTTTGTCAACTGAATTGTCTTTGCCCTTTTGTAAAATTCAGTTTATTGTATTTTTCTGAACCTATGGATGCTCTATTCTTTTCCAATGATGTGTCTAACTCCAAATACCACACTGACTTGATTACTATAGCTTTATAATATCTAGAAATTGGGTAGAATAAATCTTCAGAATTTTTTCCAGAATTGTTTTGGCTATTGTAATTCTTTTGCCTTTCCATATACATTTTAGAATCAGCCTATCGTACCACAAAAATCTTGCTGAAATTTTGATTCAGAGTGCACTGAATCTATAGATTAAACTGGGGAGAACTGACGTCTTCACTACATTTATTCTTTGAATTAATAAACACTGTATTTCTCTAGATCTTTTGAGTTCTTTCATCAGTGTTTGAGTTTTCGGCATATGTATATTTTGTTAGATTTATGTATAACTATTTACTTGTGTGTGCGTGTGCATGCCCACAGGCTACTGTCAATGGTATTTAAAGTTCAAATTCTACTGTTCATCACTGGTATATAGGAAAGACTTATTTTTTTATATTTTCCTTGTATCCTATAATCTTCCTAAAACTAAACTTATCAGTTCTAGTTTTAGATAGATAGAGTCCTTGAGATTTTCTACATAGACAGTCATGTCATCTGCAAATAGACGTCGTGTCTTCCATGAACATAGAACTTAAAATCTCATTTTTTAAATTCTTAATTTACTTTTAGCACAGCCCGACCAGCAGAGATTTTGTCAAGCATTACTTTCTGATGTCTGTATTATGAAAATAATAGGCATAATGAATTAGCCTTTTAAAACTATCCAATGCTCCATCTTCACAAATTTTTGGCTATATATTTCCCAGGGCTTTATCTCTCCCCTGCCATTGAGAATCACTGCTCTAAATTAATACTAATAGTTACTGATACATTTCTGCATAAAACACTTTCACTTCAATTTTCAGATTTGCTAGTTTGAAACTATTACAAATATAAACAAATCCTTGTTTTCTAAATATGTCAATCATTCCCTGCAATGTCCATACCTCATGTAAGGAGTTCTCCAACACCTACGATTTCTTCTAAGGGGCTATGTTCTTTGCCATGTGAACTCATACCTCTATCCCAACTAATACGAAGGGAGTAAAAGGGAATCTGCCCTAAGTACAACAAATTGATAGACTGACTAATGATCTGTGATGTAGGTCATAGAGCTTGAAAAGATAGAGTAATGCGGGTGCTCTGTGTTAGAAATTTGAATCACAGTCCTAAGTGAATTTGCCCAAAATGAGTCTGAAAAAGAAAGTTGTGAGGTTTAATTAAGCTGGATACTGACAAGGTGAATGAATGGGAGACCCAAAAAGATACATAGCAGTGAGTGAGGAAGATAGACAATAGATAATGGACAAATGAGCTCTGAGAAGAATAGAGGTTGGCAGTTAGACCAATTAATTCTTGGAGCTGCCTCAGCACCTAATGACCTTCCATTTTTAATTCACATGCATCTTATATTAAACCCCCTTTCTCAGGGTAACTTAGAAGGATATCTGTCCCTTACATTTGAAGGTTCTATTCAGATCATTTGACATTGATGAATAAGGAAATAAGAATGAAAGACAAGTTTATGAATATTAGGGACTAAATTCAGAAAGTAGAATTAATTGCTAACTTCTGCCTCCTTAAATGAGACAAAGGAATTGTCAATAAAAAAAAAATAGAGTTTTACTCCTAATGAGTGGGACATTAGGGAACTGGATGGCCATCTTGAGAAATGAGGATACTTCTCCTTTTGTTATACTCAGGTGGGGTTGAAAAGTCTGTTTGTTTCAATCTAAATTGTACATAATCAAATACCAATCTACGCTGTAGAGTGTGACACTTTTCTGAGAGTTGAGTGTTAAGACTACTTAATTTGAGGGGCGCCTGGGTGGCTCAGTTGGTTAAGCGACTGCCTTCGGCTCAGGTCATGATCCTGGAGTCCCGGGATCGAGTCCCGCATCGGGCTCCCTGCTTGGCGGGGAGTCTGCTTCTCCCTCTGACCCTCCTCCCTCTCATGCTCTCTGTCTCTCATTCTCTGTCTCTCAAATAAATAAATAAAATCTTAAAAAAAAAAAAAAGACTACTTAATTTGATCAATACACAGACACTTTAGGGTGAAACACGCAACAGCTATTTCCTCTTGCCTTTTATTTTGCACTAATTTAGGGGTCAAAGAACATATACAGAGATTATATGTCTAAGCCAGATCATGTCATTCCCTGATTCCTATCTTACTGAGTAAGCCAAAATCATTTCAGCGGCCTCTAAAGCATACACAATCTGGCTGCTGCATTACTGGCCTTAATTTTCTAATCTCTTCCTTCCTCAAACCATTTTAGAGGTACTGGGCTCCCACCTCAGAGCCTTTGCACTTTTTACCCTCTGCAAAAAATACTCTTTCCTCTCTTTCCCACTTGCATGCTTCAACCATATTGAATATTATTTTTAGCAGAAAACACTGAACATTAGGGTGAACAGTTCAATAAACTATGCAATACACGAAAGAGATGAACAATAATGCCTCACTCCTCTTTCAGGTCTGTGCTCAAATACCACTCTCTTGATGAAATCATCCCTGAACTACCCTATTTAAAATTGCAACCCACTTCCACTCTCCCTCATCTCTCTCTAACCACCTCTTCCCCATTTATTTTACTCCATAGCACTTGTCACATTCTAATAGTAAATATGTTTACTAATTTATCTACTATATTTTCATATTCCTCCACTAGAATGTGAACTTCAAAGGGACAGGGATTTTCAACTGCTTCATTCACTGCATGTAGAACAGTGCCTGGCACATCATAGGAATTAAAATATTTGATGAACATGTAACATACATATATATCCAAAATTATTACTACTACTAAATAATTGATGCCATTTACTGATAGCCTGTTAAGTGTCAAACATTGCACAGAGATTTTAGACACATTTCTGATAATCCTCAAATTAGCCCTGCCCAATAGGTATAATTATGCTTACAGCATATTTCTTAAAATTCATTTTCTGCCATGAGAAACTCTTGACCCCAAGAAACAAACTCAGGGTTGTGGGAAGGGAGGTGGGTGGGGGGATGGGGTAACCAGGTGATGGGTATTAAGGACGGCACGTGATGTGATGAGCACTGTTACATGCAACTGATGAATCGTTGACTACTACATCAAAAACTAATGATGTACTATATATGTATATATGTTGGCTAACTGAATTTATTTTTTTTTAACATATACTGTATTATTTGTTTCAAAGGTACAGGTCTGTGATTCAACAGTCTTACACAATTCACAGCGCTCACCATAGCACATACCCTCCCCAATGTCTATCACCCAGCCACCCCATCCCTCCCACCTCCCACCACTCCAGCAACCCTCAGTTCCTTTCCTGAGATTAAGATTTCCTCGTATCAGTGAGGTCATATGATACATGTCTTATACAATGGAATATTATGCAGCCATCAAAAGGAATGAAATCTTGCCATTTGCAATGACGTGGATGGAACTGGAGGATATTATGCTGAGCAAAATAAGTCAATCAGAGAATTTAAATAAAAAATAAAAATAAATTAAAAGGTTTCTATCTTCATGAAAAAAAAATTCAGTTTGTGATTATTTATCACCATAATTGGGATAAGGTTGCTCTTGGGACCATAATTGGGAATCAGCTGCTCTTAATTCAATATGTTGAAGATTCCCTCCTGTAGAATATGATTGTAAGCACTTTTCCCATTGCCATGGCCATTATAAAAGGGAAGCATGAGGTCAGGTCAAATTTTATCACTGAAGAGTTTTAAGTACAAATAAGAAATCTCAGTCCAGTTAGCTTAAGCAAAAAGGTATCTATTAAAAGCTGTTGGGTAATTCACAGAATCTCTAGGAGAGCCAGATAATCAAGACTGGTGGCTCTGTAGCCAGAAACAAGGCCCAACTTAGACTGATAGACTACTCCAGAGTAGGAAACTCAGCTCAAGTGCTACCACAGGGCATAAGTCACATCTTGACTCTGCCACTGCTACCCTGGAAGCTCGCTGCCTCTCCAGCAGACTTCACCATCCCCACTGGAAAAGAGATACTGCCGCTTCTGTGGCTGCTTCTTCACGTTGCTTGTTTCAGAATCCAAGTCTGTTCAGTTGTCAGATGATATGACCACTCCCTAGCTGCGAGAAAGGATGGAAAACTAAACTCTGGCTATGATCTTCTTGAGGCAGTGGGATTCAAAACAAAAAACTTAACCACACACGGAGGAGAATTTCCAAAAGATGCTAGCCACAAATGTAAACAATGCCTATTACAGACAGTAACAAAATTTAGATTGAAAATAGGTCAAAATCTCTCACTACTGGGTATGACTTGGGACAGTTTTTAATTTCTAGTATTGTTCAATGTTTTCTACTTAAACTATAGTTAAGTATTTAAGGCAATGAATAACTGCCCCTCATCTTCATACAAGTTTTCTGGTAATGGCATCAGTGAGATACACTGATACAAGAGGGAGAACTATACCAGTGCTGACCGAGGGAAGGCCATGGGGACACAGTGCCTCACCGGGGATAGACAGCTGCTCTAGCATACATGCTGCTCATTCAAAAGGAGTTTTGATTTTATCTGTAGTGAGACATATTAAAAAACAAACCTATTGTTTTAAATTTTCAAATTAATTGTTAATTGAACAGTATGTTTCCAAAGAGGATCACCCTTGAGGAATTAGGGTTTAAAATAAAAAATTCCAAATGTGTCTTGTGGGGTTCACATGAGTTTTCCCCAGGAGTATAAGTTTGGCAATATTAGCAAAAATTTTTTAAACTTACTGATTCTAAAATTATTGTTCTTGACTAAAATAACTACAAGAAAATAAGAAGATAACATTAAACACATTTTAAAGTTTAAAAGATAAGCCTATAGGTAAATATGTGAAAATGGATGTACTTCAGATATATACTTATATATCCCCCTCCAGCTCAACAATAAAATGGTCTTAAATATTTAGACCAGTTTAGTTTTTATGTTCTGCGGAGTAAAAATTCACTTGCATACCATGGACTCCTCAAATCATATGGGTAATAATTAGAAAGGGGGAAGGGACTATGTTAGAATGTTGTTTGGGGCGCCTGGGTGGCTCAGTTGTTAAGCGCCTGCCTTCAGCTCAGGTCATGATCCTAG